TTGGCTCATCCCGCTCCTTAAGACCCAACCCCAGGCCCAACTGGTCCCAGGGCCGCTGCTGCTGTCCCACCTCCACCCCACTGGCTTGCTCTTCCCAGCCCCTTCCGGAGCCCTCACCGCTCGTGGTTGCGCAGGTCCTTGAGCTCTGCATAGGCCTTGCCACAGCGCTCGCAGCCGTAGGGCCGCAGGCCAGCGTGTGTGCGCCGGTGCTTGCGGAACACAGACGGGTCGGCAAAGCTCTTGCCGCAGTCGGCGCAGGCGTACGGCCGCTCACCAGTGTGGCCGCGCTGGTGGATCTTTAGTTTGGAGAGCGCGCCATAGGCCTTAGGGCAGTGCGCGCAGCGGAACGGCAGCTCGCCAGCGTGCGAGGCCAGGTGCACGCGCAGGCATACTGGCTGCATGAAGCGGCGGCCGCACTCGGGGCAAGGGAAGGGCTTCTCACCCGTGTGGCTGCGCCCATGACTGCGCAGCTCGGGAGCCGTTTTGTAGGCTTTGGGGCACAGTGGGCACGCATAGGGCCGAGGCTTAGCTGCTGCACCTGACACCTTGTCCCCGCTGGCACCTTCCGCTTTGGATTCTGCCTCTGGCTTTAGCTTCACCTCGGCTGCTTCCTCTGTGCAATCTACAGGCCCGTGTGTGGCAGCGTGGCGCGCTGCCCTGGGCGCATTTGGAAACGTCTTGGTACAGGACAGGCACTTGTAACGGCGGCCGGAGCGCTTATAGCCGGGGCCTTGGGACCGGGCCTCCACAGCCTCCACCTCCATGGCCTCGGTGGGCAAAGCTTCTCTGCGAGAGAAGCAGAGTTAGACAGAAGCGCATCCCTATTCTCCAAGCCACACCCCCTGCCACTCTCCAAGGCTTCTTCCCTCCCCAACGCCCTCGTGAGGCCTTCCAAGGAACCCTATTTCATCTGCATTTCCCACCTTGGACCACCACATCCTTCCAAACACTCCTGGCTCCGATACTCGGCTCAACTTTCCTCTCTAATCTGTTCACTGATGAAGGGAGTTGGAGCCGGTGACTTCGGAGGTGCTAAGGAAGGAATCTGGGGTCATCAAAACATCTACCTGCACTTCCCTACCCAGCTTCTGAGCTTTTCCAAACCCGGTGGCATTCCCAGAAGGCCCTGGTTCCATCCATCTCACATCTTCCTTCTTCAGCACAGCCTGTGCTAGGATGCAGGGGGGTCCTATGCCAGGCTGCAGACATAGGCTGCCCAGATGTGGGTCTGGTCTGAAGGTCTCCAGGTGCCCAACGAAGACAGAGGTAGGTCCAGAAGAGGGCAGGACCAGTGGCTAAAGGTGGTGATTGGCATCGCCTGTCTGGAAGTGACAGTTCCCCAGCACATGTGTTTTGTTTTCCCCTCTGGTTGGTTAGCTTTCAGACGCAGCAACTGTCCATGCAGAATTCTGACCCTGCACAGCTGAGGGACTCCACCCCAGACAGGAATCCCATTCTGCCTCCTGCTCCCACAGCTCTGATCAAGCTACTCTCCAGGCAGCTTGAGCCACTGCTAGCAGTTAGAAGCCTCTGAGTCATAATCAATGTGTCTGATCTAGCCTGGCCTCCGGGACACCCATTTTAGCCTGAGGTCCTTTCATTCTCAATTCAGACCCTAGACACCCTCCACACAGCTGTTCCTGGGGCTGGAAGGAAATAGGATTAACAGCTGCATTAGTCCTAACACCAGCTCATCCTCCCTGGGGGATGAAGGGAAGAGGATTATGGCAGATCCACTTAAGGAGTGCTCAGCAGCTGTAGCTGCTGGGGGCAGCCTGGGTGGGGGTGAGGATCTGCCATAGAGAAGGGGCAGGGAAGCCTGGTGTGCCCAGAGCAAGGCTGGGAGGTAGGGGTCCTGAGATCTCTGCTACATTCAAAGCCTGTTTCCTTATCTGTATGTCTCAGGGGTGGGTGGCTTCTACCTTATGATCCAGGGAGGACACGGAAGGGAAGCCCCTGGGGTGAGTGGCAGGGGCTGCATCCTTAGAGTCAGCATCCTTTGCCTGGCCCTGCCTTGGTCCCCCACTCCTACACACATAATCCATGAAGAGCAGAGGGCCAGGCAGGCTAGGCCCCTGCCTAAAATCCCACCATTAGCTCCTCGTTGCACAGCTCACTAAGTACCCTTCCACCCACCACTCCACTCCCTAGATTAGCGGTTTTCAACCATCCTAATGCTGCAACCCCTTAATACAGTTTTTCATGTTGTGGTGACCCTCAACCATAAAATTATTTTCGTTGCTACTCTATAACTGTAATTTTGCTACTGTTATGAATCGTAATGTAAATATCTTTTTGTTTTCCGATGGTCTTAGGCGACCCCTGTGAAAGGGTCATTCGACCCCCAAAGGGGTTGCGACCCACAGGTTGAGAACCACTGCCCTAGAGGGATATTTCTCCACATCAGCTCTGGGAACACCCTATGTGAGAATAACCATCTGGGGAGTGAGGGGCACAACTCAAAATCTGTACTGTGAACACTCTGTCACTCCAACCAACACTCAACATTTAAGAACCAAAGACACGTCCTTAGGTCTTCACAGCTTCTAGGAGAGAGGCATTCTTACTATACCTTGTTTTCAGGTATGGAGATTAAGTCCCCATAAGGGAAAAAACATGCACAAGGGCAGATAGCTAGTCAAGGAGCCCAGCTTCACACCACGTCTTCAGATCTCTGGCTGGGCTCCTTCTCTAGCAGTCTTCATTTACTTAAGGTTTACCAGCCAAATTGTGAGACTTTCCACGGCTCCTGCGACAAAGGCCAATAGCTTTTTCATGGCCAGCAAGGCCCTGAACCACCTAACTCCTGCCCACTTCACTTCCTACTCCTCTTCCCTGGCTCCCTAGGATCCCTTTCTTTTCCTCAAAGAGCTAAATTCCTTCCCACTACAAGGTCTTTGCACTAGCAGTTACCTCCACCAGACCACTATCCCCAAGGATCTCTGTGCAGCTGTCTCTTTGTTTTCACTCTCAGCTCCCTGTCACCTCAAAGAGGGCTTTTCTGACCACTTTTCTTAATGCTATCTGCACCCCTGCTGACCACTCTCTATCCTCCCTCTTTAATTTCTCATATGGACAGCATTCCTTGCAAGTTTACCATGGGCCAACATTATCCTAAGAATTTTATGTGTATACTACTCAAGCTAAGCCTCACAACTGCCTAGAAGTGTATTCGTTGAATGTGTGCATGCACAAAGGAAAGGCCACGTGAGGACACAGCGAGAAGCCGGCCTTCGATAAGCCAGGACGAAAGCTCTCACCAAAAACTGAATTGGCCAGCACCTTGATCTTGGACTTCCCAGTTTCCAGAACTGTGAGAAATCAATTTGTGGTGTTTAAGCCCCCCAGTCTGTGGTTTTGGTTACGGTAGCCCGAACAGACTACACTAAACAGCATCATTTCCCCCGGGGTTACAGACAAGGATACTGAGGCACAGAGAAACGAAGTAACTAGTCATTGTCACAGCCAGTAATCAAAGCCAGATGAGGTGGTCTGCCTCCCAAACTTCCACTCTCTGTCCCCTGATTATTGCTTTGGTACCATTTACACATTTTACGGCTTGGTTGGTAATTCTGTTTCCAGCACAACAGTCTAGGCTGGTGAAGAGTTGGTGCCCTTTATTATTCTGAATCCACTCCCCTAGAGCTGTGACTGGTGCCCCCAAACAAACCCAGGCCTGGGGCTATGGTAGGCATTTGTGAGAATGTCCATCAACTATTTATTGACTGAATGTCTCTGCCTGTCCAAGTTCCTGAGTCCAAATATCGCCCCATTTCCCACACTGGGTTCATCGGTCTCCTGAGGGAGGGGTGTCTCTGCTGCACTACTGGCTCAGGAGCGGGATGAAGTCCTGGCTCTAAGTCCAGGGATGCAGAGATTTAATTCCCAGAGAGTTTAGGCTAGGAACCTGACAACAGGGGAGAGGCGAAAAGGGAGCCACTTTTTATCCTCTCTGCATCTCAGTCTCTCCATGTCTAAACAAGCAGCCACCCACAGGCCTCAGCCCCTGACAGATTTAGTGAAAGGGCGGATGGGGAACTATGAACCGTGCAAAGAGAAGAGCTAATCATCTCCTAAGCCTGCAACCTAGTCAGTTTACAACCTACTTTTCCAGCCTCGGCTCCAGCGACACTGTCCCCCTCCCAACAGAGACCTAAGCTCCAGCCACAGTTCTCAAACTTCCCCACCTAAAGGCATCTCCACAGGCAGTGCCCTCTGCCTCCGAAGCCATTGCTTGCCTTCTCTCCCAAGGGAAAACTCTTTTGCATTCTTTAAATACCAGCTTCCCCAGTGCCTTTAGAAATGCTTAATAGGCAACAGAAGTAAGGGCGCCACGGCACTCTGAGCCTCGGTTTTCTCATCAGTAAAATAGGGTCTCTGAGGTATGTGGGAGTTTGAAAAGCGTTAGGGCATCCAAGACGCGCTGAGGGGAGGCTGAGAGCTGCAGAAACCCTGCGCTTCTCGCTGCCTGCAACCTTCTCTGTGTCGGCGTCCCCACCAGACAGTCCCGCAGGGCACGGCCCTGAGCTGGCTCATCTCGGAATAAACCCTGGGAAAAAGTGGCCTCGGAGAACAGGACAAGAAGGAGTGAACGAAGAATGAGAGAATGAACAAATGAATGGGCCGAGACGCGGGGCTGGACAAAGGCCTGCAAATGGCGTTCTCTAGGACCGTGGGAGGGGCGGCCAGGACCTCGGCCGGGGAGGGGGGTCGCAGGCGCCGGGGCCCTAGCTAAGTGGGCCCAGCGCCTAGGACAAAAGCCTGCAACATGGTGGGCTCTAGGACCCCCGAGTCCGCGCAGCTCAAGGCGGGCAGCCGCGTGGGCCGAGCCCAGGCATCCGCAGCAGCCCTCCCAAGGGGACAGCCGGCGGGTTCTAGGACCCGCTGGGCCCGGAGCCCGCCCGGTACCTCCCGGGGCCGCACCACTCCCGCCCCGCCCGCGCTGCTCGCGCCAGGCCAACCCCATCCGCCCTCGGCACCCATAGGAAAACTGAGGTCTGCTCGGATTGCGCACTGGGGTCCCCGCGGCTTCCAGCAGCGTTTCCTACCTGAATCGACGTGGACTGTCGGACCCTCGGTGTCAGTGGCAGCTCCTCTCACCGACGGAGCCCGGGACACTACCCGGGAGAGGCAGGCGCTAGGACCCAGCGGGTGGGGGAGGCGGGGCCGGTGGGCGGAAGTGGAAGGGAGCTCCCCCCCCACCCCCGCTAGGGAGGAAGGCAAAGTTTACCAGAACACCCCCAGCCGAATGTGGCGGAGAAACACCTTGCAAGGGGTCTCTGTTTTTGCTAAGGCCAGGGGACGCCGAAGAGGATTCCTATTTACACCGGGCTACTGCTAGCTTGGGGCCAGATCACCAAGAACTAGAAGGTGGGAGTACAGAAAGGCCATGCTCAAGCATTGCAGTCCCTAAATCGTCTTATATTTCACATTTTCCTTAATAGCGAGAAGTGCATGAAGCTCCCTCCATTTGTCTTGAGAAGATTTTCAGGGGGCCCCACAAAAAGTGTCGCCAAAGTACTAAAGCTCCGGCTGCAGAACCCTTTTTTTTAATCCTCTTCCGAGCTCAGTCAGTGTGCACCGGAACGGTTTTTGCTGCTCTTAACGGAAGTGTGGCTAAGGTTAGTGCGAAACGACGCAGCGCTTTGACCTACGTGGGCGGGATCAGAGTCGCATTTTAGCTACTGGCTTAGCGCCGGAAGTGTGTCTGTGTAGAACGGCTGTCAGGAAGTGTTCTCGAGGCGGAGGTTTCGCGGGGAAGCTTTTGCGGCTAGGACACTTCCTGTTTCCTAGTAACAATAGGAAGTATCCGCGGAGCTGGAGTGAGACCCTTGACTCGGACCAGCTGCGCCCTCTCTGCTCTGCCTCCCTCCCTCTTCCCCTTCTCCTTTCCTTCTTCTCCTCCCCTCCCACCTCCTGGGAGCCCTGGCGGGGTGTGCGTGTATGGGAGCGCGAGAACTCCCCACAGCCACCCCTTGGGGCGCGCGGCTGCAGTTAGGGTGAGGGTCCCAGTGCGCAGGCGCGCTCCCGTTCGCGGTCCCCAACGGACGCACCCGCGGCGGGAACGAGAAGGGGCCACTCGTGCGAGGTAGGGATCCCAAGAGGAAGTTGGCCCAGGAGATGAGTGAGGCGAGTGGACCTCGGTGGTCGATCAGGAGAGAGGACTCTTGAGCGAAGGGGCCTTGTGAGGTGAGAATTGGGGGAGCAGGTTTAGTGAGGGGCTTCGTCGGAGGTAGGGAGTTGTATTGGGGTCCAATGGGAGTGGAGAAGCAGAGACAGAGATAGCACGGGGCTTGCTATGGGGAGGGCGAGGGCTTTGGAAAGAAGATTGCCTAAATCAGTGGGGTTGCTCCTCAGTAAACTGGGACAACAGGCATTGCGGTGTGTTATGAGGATTAAGTGACACAATGAATGTTCTCTGTTTAGCGCACCGCCCTGCACCTGGTACTGTTCAGTTAGCATGCATTGCTGTTATCTTCAGTATTAGAGAGGAAATAGAAGAAAAAGTGAGAAGGGGTGGTGAGGGTATAGTGAGGAGGTGTGGGAAAGAAAAAAGGGGTGAAGAACACCAGAAATGGGATGGAATTTCCATGATGGAATATAGTTTGGGTTCAGGGGAAATAGGTGAAGGAAGTGGCCAAGAGAGTCTTTTAGAAAGGAGACCTTGTGACCCCCAAAAGGAACAGGTGATGTGGGGGAACAAGCCAGCCCCTTCTCTGAAGGGAGCCCCTGACTTCACCTCTCAGACCATCACCTGTCAACTGGAGAAAGGCTGCCTTTTCAACACTTCTAAGCTACTCTGTTTAGCTGAGGGGTGAAGAAGAGAGGATTGGACATCTCTTAGTTGAAAGACCTAGAAAAGGTTCAGGTTTCCTTTTAAGATGACACAGAAGATAGGTTGGTTGGTTGTAGAGAGGAGAGGGCTGGTGCAATAAGACTTTTTGGATTTGGTCTGAAGAACAGGTTAATAGGTTTGTGGTCAGAGATAGGTTCCATCTCTCCTAAGAAAATTTAAGTTTCCTTATCTATACCTCTATGGGTGAGTTAGGCCTAGGGAAGCACCCATATTTGGGGAGCTTGTGTGCAGGGAGGCCATAAATGATGGTGCTTCCAGGTTAGTCCAGTAGAAAGCAGGTCTCTGGTCATTGCTGCTCTGGTCTATTGCTGTCTCTATGACCTCTGGTGAATTTGCCACTTGTAGAGCCAAGAGGCAAAGTTAATTCCGGCCTCTCTTCTGACCACTGCCCCCTCTACCTAGGCCTTGGCCCCGCCACTGGAGGAAGATGCTGCTGCCACCTGCCTGCTCTTCCTGAACCTCCACGTTTCTGCCACACTGCCCCATGGAGAACGTGCCCAGCTCACTCAGCTGCTGTGACTGTCAGCGCCACTTTCCTAGCCTCCCAGAACTGTCAAGGCACCGAGAACTACTCCATTCATCCTCCAACCAGGACAGTGAGGAGGCTGACAGCATCCCTCGGCCCTACCGCTGTCAGCAGTGTGGGCGGGGCTACCGCCACGCAGGGAGCCTGGTCAACCACCGCCGGACGCACGAGACTGGCCTTTTCCCCTGTACCACCTGTGGCAAGGACTTTACTAATCCCATGGCCCTCAAGAGCCACATGAGGACTCATGCTCCTGAGGGCCGCCGTAGGCGCAAGCCTTCCCGCCCCAAGGAAGCCACTCCACACCTTCAGGGGGAGACAGTATCCACTGACTCCTGGGGCCAGAGGCTTGGCCACGGGGAAAGCTGGGGAAACCAGGAAAAAACCGCCGAAGAGACATCTATCTGTGCATCTGAGCCTGACCCCAAGGTAGCTCTAGGCACTTGGGAAGATCCACCCACCAAACAAAGAGAAGGCTGGGAAAGCCAGGCAAATTCTGAGGACGGTGCAGAGGGCTGGGGGCCCACCACCAACTCTGCCAGAGCCCCACCACTCCCTGCTCCAGCCAGCAGCCTCCTTAGCAATTTGGAACAGTATTTGGCTGAATCGATGGTGAATTTCACAGGGGGCCAGGAGCCCACCCAGTCCCTTCCTGCTGAGGAGGAGCGGCGTTACAAGTGCAGTCAATGTGGCAAGACTTACAAGCATGCCGGGAGCCTCACCAACCACCGCCAGAGCCACACAGTTGGCGTCTACCCTTGTGCCATCTGCTTTAAGGAGTTCTCTAACCTCATGGCTCTGAAGAACCACTCCCGCCTCCATGCCCAGTATCGGCCTTACCAGTGTCCTCACTGCCCCCGTGCCTTCCGGCTCCCCCGAGAGCTGCTGGAACACCAGCAATCCCATGAGGGTGAGAGGCAGGAGCGGCTGTGGGAAGAGAAAGGTGTGCCCACCACCAATGGACACACAGATGAGAACAGCCGGGACCAGCCCCCTAGTGCACCAGTGCTGAATGGCTCTGGGGAGCTCAGCACTTCTGGGGACCTAGAGGACAGTGGCCTGGAGGAGTACCGACCTTTCCGCTGTGGAGACTGTGGCCGTACTTACCGCCATGCCGGGAGCCTCATCAACCATCGCAAGAGCCACCAGACAGGTGTCTACCCCTGCTCCATCTGTTCCAAGCAGCTGTTCAATGCAGCCGCTCTCAAAAACCACGTGCGGGCTCATCACAGACCCCAGCCAGGAGCTGGTGAGGATGGGAAGCCGGCAGTGCTGCCAGCTGCATTGCCTCCGGCTGAGACCACCCACAAAGAGACGGCGGTCCACAGCCCCACCCTGGACTATCGCCCCTACAAGTGCAATGAATGCGGTCGGGCGTACCGTCACCGCGGGAGCCTGGTGAACCACCGCCACAGCCATCAGACGGGAGAGTACCAGTGCTCACTCTGTCCCCGCAAGTACCCCAACCTCATGGCCCTGCGCAACCATGTGCGAATCCATTGCAAGTCTGCACATCTCAGCACTGGCTCAGGGCCCAAAGGTCCCCCCAGCCACCTCAAGGGGGAAGTTCCTGCTGACCCCGTGGGAACAGAGGCAGCCTCACATATAGATTGGGGCGATGGGTGCAAACACAAGGAGGAGGCCATGGAGGGTCCCCCAGCAGCAAATAGGACAGCACCACATATACGTAGCGTGGGCAGGGTGCTCTTTGAAGACCCCGAGAGCCTTGAACATCATGGCTGGACCCACGGGGAAGGAGAAAACAGGACAGAGACCAGGGTGTCACCTCTCCGGGCATTTGCCTGCCAAGACTGTGGAAAGAGCTATCGCCACTCGGGCAGCCTCATCAACCACAGGCAGACCCACCAGACGGGGGACTTTAGCTGCGGGGCCTGTGCCAAGCACTTCCACACCATGGCTGCCATGAAGAACCATTGGCGTCGCCACAGTCGGCGGGGCAGGCAGCAGCGGGGCCAGGCCAACGGTGCTGATGGTGACGGAGGGGCCAAGCTCCCGTCACCTGGGAACTGGGCCTGGGAGCTGGCGGGAGATAGTGAGGGCCTGGACTGTCCCCAGGACCCTCCAGGGGAAAGTCCTCATGGAGCTGAAAGCAGCTTGGAAAGTGATGGGGGTTATTTGCAGGCTCGAGCTGAAAGGGACAGATGTGGGCTTGAGAGGGATAAGGCCTATTTCCAGGGTGATAAGGAGAGCAGAGATCCTAAGGAAGGGCTGGAAAGGAAGGAGGCCTGTTTCCTTGACAAGTTGGACATCCCAGTCGAGGACGAAAGCCGTGGGCCTCACTTTTGTGATGGCCTCCCAGGGGCGAATGAAGACCAGAAACCTGCCGCTGGCCAGCCCTGCCGCTCCTCCCACTCTGTGGAAGCTGTCACCGGCTGGCAGGCTGAGGTGGACCACACGTGTTCTGACTGTGGGCACTCTTTCCCCCATGCTACGGGCCTGCTGAGTCACAGGCCCTGCCATCCGCCGGGCATCTACCAGTGCTCCCTCTGCCCCAAGGAGTTTGACTCCCTGCCCGCCCTACGCAGCCACTTTCGGAACCACGGGCCCGGGGAGGCAGCCCCGGCACAGCCTTTCCTCTGCTGCCTCTGTGGCATGATCTTCCCCGGGCGGGCAGGTTACAGGCTCCACAGGCGCCAGGCTCATGGCTCCTCTGGCATGACTGAGGGGGAAGAGGAAGAGGGGGAGGAGGAAGGAGCAGCCGAGGCAGCCTCCAGGCTTAGCGCCCCACTGCAGCTCTCAGAAGCAGAGCTGTTGAACCAGCTGCAGCGAGAGGTGGAAGCGCTAGATGGAGCGGGTTACGGGCACATCTGTGGCTGCTGTGGTCAGACCTATGATGACCTGGGGAGCCTGGAGCTTCACCACCGAAGTCAGAGTTCTGGGAACATGATGGACAGAGCTGCCAGCCAAGCGGGAGAGTCCGGTGATGTCACAGAAATGGTTGCAGATGGCTTCTCTGATTGCACTGGGACCTCTGTTTCTGCAGAGGGTGGGAACACAAAGTCTGGAGAGGGCATAGGTGCCACGGTTGCAGACAGCCTCTGCATCCCGGGTCGGGAAAGTGCTCCGGAGGCTCAGCCCCGCCCCTTCCGCTGCAACCAGTGCGGCAAGACCTACCGCCATGGCGGGAGCCTCGTGAACCATCGCAAGACCCACCAGACCGGGGACTACGCCTGCGCTGTCTGCTCCCGCCGCTACCTTAACCTGGCTGCCTACCGCAACCATCTGCGGAACCACCCGCTGTGCAAAGGCTCCGAGCCCCGCGTGGGGCCCGTACCTGAGGCGGGAGGCAGCAGTGAGCCCCAGGACGTTGCCAAAGCGGGGCTGGGACAGGCAGAAGTGGGGAAGCCCCAGGAGGCACTTAAAATGGAGCCCCCAGAGGAGGAGACGTGGGAGGAGACCGCTGTGAAGGAGGAGGACACGGGGCTGAAGCTGGAGGCTGCCGACGACAGCTGCCAGGCCGAGGCCAGCGCTGAGCGGCCCTTCAGCTGCGAGGTGTGCGGCCGTTCCTACAAGCATGCCGGCAGCCTCATCAACCACCGACAGAGCCGCCACACAGGCCATTTGGGCTGCCGGGCCTGCTCCAAAGGCTTCTCGAACCTCAGGTCCCTCAAGACCCACCGGTGTGTCCGCGTCCATGCTGATCCTCGGCGTTTCCGCTGCAGCGACTGTGGGAAGGCCTTCCGCCTGCGGAAGCAGCTGGCGAGCCACCAGCAGGTCCACACTGATGGGGGTCGGGGCGCCCGGAAACTGACGAGGGAGGATCGGCCGTTTGGCTGTGCGCAGTGTGGGCGGACATACCGTCATGCGGGCACCCTCCTGAACCACCGATGCAGCCATGAGACCGGCCACTACAGCTGTCCCGCCTGCCCCAGCACCTACTCCACCCTCATGGCCTTGCAGGACCACCAGACGCTGCACTCAGATGGCCTGCGGCGGCGGGCAGGGCGGTCCCGGCAGGCAGCCGTGTTCTGCGCCCTCTGCAGCCAGGGCTTCCCTGGCCAGAGCTCTTTGGAGCAGCACCTGAGCAAGCATGAGGAGACCAGAAATGCTCAGGGAGGCCCCGGTGGCCCAGAGGGCAGTGAGGGGAACCTGGCCAATGACCAGGAAGTAGAAGGCAGATGGAGTGGTGCTGAGTCAGTATCCCAGCTGGAGTATGGAGCCATGAGGTCAGAGGAGCAGAGTCGTAATCCCATCACACCAGCAGGTCCAGAAGCCACAGAGCCAGCATCCTGGGACATGGGGCAGGCAGGTGGGTGGCGAGGAGATGGGGGACCAGTGAGTCAGGAAGCAGATTGCATTCCTCCAGGTCATGTGCTGACCAAGACAGAAGATATATCAGGGAACAGTGTCCCCAGAAGTCCTTGCCACCTTGGCAATAGTGAGCCTAGTCAGAGTCACGTGGATAGCTGGGACAGTGGAGATAGCAGCCCTGAGCCCCAACCAGAGAGCTGCCCCTTTTCCTGCCGCCGTTGTGGCAAGACCTGCCAATTGGAAGGGCCCTTGAGCCACAACTCCCATAAAACCCACTGCCACTATTGCCTGCTCTGCTCCAAGGAGTTCTCGGATCCTGTGGCCATGGAGCGCTCCTGCCACAACCACGTAGCCCCCCAGACATTTGCCTGCTCTGACTGTGGCAAGGCCTTTGAGTCCCGCCACGCGCTAGCCAGCCACCTGCACACTCATGCCAGGGCCTTTAGTCAGGTGCCACCCCAGATGGAAGAGGCCAGAGGTCCTGAAGCTGGGTCTGGGCAGGATGCAGAGGGTCTTCCTAGCCAAGGGGGACCCTGTAAAGCCCCCTCAGAACCCTCCGGGGCCCTGGGAGTCAACGCTAGGAGAGCCAATGGGGGGCAGGGAGCAGAGTCCGCCCTGGCTGAAGACGAGCGGCCCTTCTGCTGTGTGCAGTGCGGCCGCTCCTATCGCCATGCTGGCAGCCTCCTGAACCACCAGAAGGCCCATGCCACCGGACTCTACCCCTGCTCCCTCTGTCCCAAACTTCTGCCTAACCTGCTCTCCCTCAAGAACCATGGCAGGACCCACACAGACCCCAAGCGCCATCGCTGCAGCATCTGTGGCAAGGCCTTCCGGACAGCGGCCCGGCTGGAAGGCCACAGGCGGGTCCATGCCCCCCGGGAGGGGCCCTTCGCCTGCCCCCACTGTCCCCGCCACTTCCGCCGCCACGTCAGCTTCCTGCAGCACCAGCAGCAGCACCAGGAGGAATGGGCCGTGGCCCGCTCTGGTACCGGGGGTATGAATGGGCTTGGGCAGAGGAGGTGGGCACATAGTGGAGGGCAAAATCTGGCCCCAAGGTTGTGGGGGAGCAAGGAGTAAGAGGAGAGGGTCACATGGATTCCAAGAGGTGGCCAGGGGCTTGGGTGTGGAGTGAGAAAAACTGCTTTGAGGATGCTGCCTTCTGAGTGGCCTAGATCTGAGCCCTGGGCCAGGTAAGTAGATAGCATGGGGGGGGGGGGGGGTAGGAAGGGGGCAGGGGCAGCTGTGCCAGAGCCAAAGAGGATGGTCTTGTTTTGAGAGGGGAGGGAGTGGGGTACCATCTAGCTGCTACATCAGGAAACCCTCCAGAGTAAAGATGACTTGGGTTGGTTCCTAGAGCAGGCAGGGAGCCAGACAATGAAGATCGGGGCATGGGAGGCACCCCCAGATTGGACTCTGGGGCTTTGGTGCTGACTGGGTGAGAAATGGGGTCACTGGGTTAGCCTCCAGCTCCCTATCCCTCTGTCCCTGCATCTGGTCTCTGCTCCCTCTCCTCCTCTCGGAATCTAGACCTTTGGTCTTTTCCTACCAGAAGGGCCTCCCGTCTCTCCTTTATTCAACCCTTTTCTTCTCTCTGCTGGGCTTGTCCTCTTCAGTATCCAACAAAACCACCCCTTCCACCTGCACACCCCCTCCCGCCAGCACCTCTTTAACTAGAGGACTGAGTCACACATAATTGTTTCTTTGAAGCCTGGCCCAGCTGTAGCAACAACAGTCATTAGCCCTTATCTCCCTCCTCTATCTGGGAATGTCCCAGTCACCTCCACCCAGGCCAGCTGCAGATGAGGGGGTGGGGGGACATCCTGTTCCCTCAGGAGCCCCGGCTCCTCCAGAGATCTATCTCCCAGGACACATTCCACTTAGCAGTCACTAAGGGTGGGTGTGCTAACATGGGCCCTTGACCAGGGATTGGCAGGGAAGGGGCTGATGATGGGTGAGATTCCCCTGAGAGGTGATGAGGTGGCTTTCTGGATGAAGGATTTCTTGGGACCTGAAGGAAATGAGTGAAGAGCAATTTAGCCAGGTCTGGGAAAATAATTGAAGTCCTAGGATTCTGGGGTTCTCATACAGGCCTCTGGGGCCATGAGTGGGGCTGGGGGGGAGGGGACAAGCTGTGTGGATTGCCCCCCCCCCCGCCCCCAGTCAGTGACTTCCCTCTCTCTCTCTCCCCCGCCAGGAGCCCCAAAGGCCCCATCAGCAGGCAGAGGGGACTTGTCATTGCCCCCTCCAGCCACCCCCATGGCTCCGCTCCTGGACTCTTCACCCCAGTGGCCTGCAGACCTCAGCTACTCCCTCTGAACTTCAGGTCTTCAAAATTCTGAACACGGGGCGGGAGAGCAGGCTGCCGGGGAGCCTGGTTGGCCATGTTGTGCTCAGGAGTCCCCACCTCTTTCCCGTGAAGAGGACCCAGATCTTGCTTCTTTCCGAAGTTGGGGCTGAGGTATTCCTGACATCCCTGTCTGAAGGACCTCTTTCCCCAGCCTTTGTCACCTTGCTCTTTCCTGTGACCAGCTCCCTCACCAACCAGATTCCAACACCAGGAAGAGACCATTCAAAGAGCTGCGGGTAGGAATGTTGCCTGTGGAAGGGGGGCCTTTTACTACAATTTGTAACTTATTTTCTAAAGTCTATTTTGTAACAATTTATTTAAGAAAGGAAAATTGCACCCCCACCCAAAAATTTTTTCAAAGTATGTGGTTGGTGTGATTGTATCTGGGGATGAAAATACAGAGAAAGCTGGGACTCCTGGTCGGAGAGCAGGGCCGAGTAGGGAGCGTCCACAGCGACATCTCCCTGTCTTGCAGGGTGAGGAGCGGGGCAGCTGCCTTCCTGGAGCCCACTGGGCACTTGGGCCTTCCCAGTGCCTGGCATCACTTGGGGAGGGAGGCGCAGCGGCAGTGACATGTCTGTAGCATCCCAGAGCCACCTGTCAACAGCCGGCTGGTTGGCCTGTCAGGGAGAGGAAGGTGGGGTGGGGGGCTAGCCTCATCCTCACAACTGTCCTCCCTCCCTGGAAGAGTAAGGAGGTGTCACTTAGCCCCCCGGGACAGATGAGAAAACAGGTTCAAAGAGGTTGAGAGGCCTGCTCCAAGTCACACAGTGACAGAGCCAGAATTTGACTCCATGGGGCATGTCCACTGCTCCACCCCACCCAGGACAGCCATTGGTAGCTCAGGCAGAGAGACAAGGTCTGGAGAGGGACGCATCACAGAGGCCCCAGGGCCACGTACTCATGTTGGCTGGGCAGCTTCGTGGCTCAGGCTCGGGCTCGGGCTCCTTGGTAAAGTAGACCTGCCAATCCAGGCTGCTGACCCAGGTCTCGTAGGTGGGCAGGGCCGTGAAGACCGCAGGCCGCGTGGGGCCGTGGCAGACGTCGCCAAAGCTGTGCAGGCCAGCCAGGAACCATGTGCCCCCCACCTCGTGCACTAGTGGTGCCCCAGACAGGCCCTGTCGGGTCAGGTGACACTGCGTGACTGCCTAGGGGTAGGCAGCTGCGAGGGGCAGAGGGCTAGGGGCTTGGCTCAGGCTGGGAGCCAGTTGGCAGAAAGGCAGAGTTTCGGGTGAGAGGCAGGTCTGGAGGCCAAGCCTGGCCCATCTACCTAGGAGTTGTGGGGTGAGGATGCCAGGGGGCTGTGGGGTAAAGTTTGGGGGTTCTGGGACTCACCTCACAGCGGGGGAGCTCCCCCACAATGCTGGTACACACCATCCCTGGCAGAATGGTGATGCCATCACTCTCAAGGGTTGTGTGTAGCTGGTTGCAGGCCCTGAGGCCCAGGAGTGTAACAGGCACTGTCTGAGGGGAGCCGGTGCCTGCAGGGGTAAGAGACCTTGCTGCCCAGAAGCCTCCAGGCTGGAAGGACAGCTACTGGTGGCCCTGTCCTACGTACCTGCTCCATGGTGGGCCAGCCCCAGGACCCAGCCACGTCCCCCATCAGGCAGGCGGTGGTCTGTGAAGGGCAGGCAGAGGGGCCGCAGGCTAGGACCCAGTGTCACGGGCTGGGCCAGTAGCAGGAGGGCCACGTCGTAGCCGCCCTCTGGGTGGGTGTAAGCTCCATGCAGTATGAGCTGCCTGAGGCCCCGCTCCACTGGCCCAGCCCCCAGCCCTACACTCCATTCTTCTGGGCTCTGCCGCCTGTACAGAAAGAGCACTGACAGCACTGGGGGAGGGGGGGGGCGCAGGGTACCAGCAGGTGGGGGAAAAGGTGAGGGAGGCGAGGGCTCACCCAATGAAGCAGTGGGCAGCGGTCAGCACGGCCTCCTCGGACACCAGGGCCCCGCCACAGGCCAGCTTCCCCTGGTGCTTCAGCCTGGCGTCCCAGGGCCATGGGGAGGGGGCTCCTGCCTGGGGACCGTCTCTCCTCAAGGACCCGCAGGCTGCAACACAGGATCACACCACCTGCCTCCCTGCTCAGAGCTCACTGCATCCGAGGCCCTGCACTAAGCGCTTCCCATGCTCCCAGCACTCACAACGGCCTTCTAAGTTGAACTTTGTTACCCTTGGAACCAAAGTTCCAGAGAGGTGAAGCGACCTTCCAGCTCAGTGACCACAGGCGAGGAGCTGACTTGGATTCAGAAACCACGGCCTAAGCTGTAACCCTGACGGTCCAGCTTCAGGGCGTGGCCTGCTCACTGTTCCTCCACCCCGCTTGTCTGCACCCCTCCAGGCTTGGACTGGCACCAGAATTCCTGCCTCACTAGTGCTTCTCACCATCAAGACATAGCTTCCTTCCCAGGAATTATTTTGCATGCCATTTGCACGTTAGTCACTTAATGCTACAATTTTGAGTGGGTGCCCTGCCCTGTCCAATCTCACTGGGTCCCTGCTTGGAAACAGAACTTACCCCTAACCTTCAGCCAGATCTCAGAGATCCCTCTTCTTACCTAAACTCCAGACCCATAGCGTTCTGAAGTGTCAATGCCTCTCAGCCCTCAAGGGGGCCACTCCCATCCTAGGGTCTCTAGAGGGGCCTGGAAAGCCCCCTTGTTGTTGTGTGGCAGTTTGTGGGTGCCCTGTGTCAGTTCTCCAATCAGCTGTGGTTTCCACCAGCTGCCACACGTCCTCATGCAGGCCTGAGTGGCCCCACACATCACACTCTCAATAGCTCATACCTATACAGCTGTCCTCATCGCTGATCTCCAGAGTCCCTGGGTTCTGGGCCAGAAAGGCTGCCCCCTGAACTCGGGCCTGCAGCCAGGAGCTGTGAACAGCCATGTCAGTTAGCAGCACAGGAGTGTCTTCCTGGGCACAGCTTGATGTGAAGCTAATGATCCCAGCCTGAAGCCAGCGTCCATTGGGCTCTTGGCACAACACAGGACCCCCAGAATCTCCCTGGAGCAGACAAAGGATTCAAGGACAGACACCTGAGCCCCAGCCCTGGGCAGACATCTCTGCAGCCCTTCCACCCATCCCTGTGGACTGAGCACCCAGCCCAAGGCCAGGGCCCCTCCGCTTCTAGGCCCTTCTCCTCTCCTCCCCCTCAGACCTCACACGGCCCCTGCACCCCGGGCTGGGCACCCCCACACAGCATCCCAGGCCGGGCTGGGCTGGCCAGCAGCCGCTGGTGCAGCCGGTTGTAGAGACAGTTACACGTGGGGCGGCTGATTAGACGCAGGCGCAGATTCCGCAGGGTCTGGGGAGCTGGCAAGAGAAAGGGGGTTGCGGTCTGGGCTCTGGGAAGCAAGGGAGACTGGGAGCAGGGACTGCTGCAGCCAGAGCTGTGACCATGGGCTAGTGCAGTGCCTCCTGGGGATTCAGTTGGGGAAAGCCACTCACCCTCATTGGTGTCCTGGTCCCAGCCCGTGGCCCAGCATGAGGTCCCAAAGGGGAAGCGATGGGCAGGTTGGGGCAGGCAGACAGGCATTTGGGCCATGGGCTGGGCGAGCTGCAGCAGCGCCAGGTCTGAGCCCTGGCTGTAGTGGTTATAGGCCCTGGGAAGCTGCAGGGATGTCACCCCCACAGCCTCAGCCCCTGGGCTCAGCCCCTCACGCTGCAGAGAACCCAGCACGACTGACCAGGATTTCAGGTCTGTCACTGCCACCCTGAAAGAAGAGGGACACTGCCAGGTATAGAGCGCAAAGGAGGACAGGGACACCATGAGGGACCATGTATCAGCCCGTGGCTTGAAGCAAGGTCCTTCTTTCTCCCAAACTGTTTCTCATTTGTAAAGCTGCTACCATGAAACAAGATTTACTTGATAATTCATGTACCTGGCACGTGGCATGTCTCAATAAATGGTGCTTCGTTATCCTGGGGGCCGGGATCAGTCTTGTGGGGTTTGGGGACAACCCCCCCACCCTCAAAGCCAGAAACCCTGTCTGACCCCAGCCACAACTCACTTTTCAAAGCAGTGGGCAGCAGTGAGGACCCAGGTGTCTGCCACCAGCGAGCCGCTGCAGATGTGAACCCCCTGCCTCCTCACACTGGCCTGCCACGGCCACTCACCAGGCCCCGTGTTGCCCTCCTGAGGTTCGGGGGGGCCAGGGCCACGCTGTCCACAGGCTGGAGAGAGGGGTGGGTCAGGCGGATAGCAGGCCACTGTCCTGCCCTCAGTCTGGGTCTGACCCAGACCCTAGTAAGGCCCAGACCCCACGTCCCCAAAGCTTACCGCGCTGAGCTGCCTGGAGACCTGGGGAGACAGAGACACAGGTGAGACTTGGGGAGCCTTCCCTGCCTGGCCCAGCCTCGGTGGAGGGGACACGTAGGGGGACAGGCCCATGACTCTGTGGCTACCTCACCAGCCCCTCCCAGAAGGAAAATATTTATATGAGGTCAAGAAACAGCTTTTATGGGAACCTACTCAGAGGCTATGCTCAGTAATTAATTTTCCTCCCTCCCTCCGCTGTGCTCAGCACTCCTGGGCCTGAGCAGCAGGGTCTAGGGTTCCGTCTGGGACCAGGCCAACCCTCCTCTGGGTTTCAGAGCCCCACTCCTGCCCCTGCCACTGAGCCAGGGAGGCAGCCCCTGGATGCGGGGAGCATTAGTAGCCTAATTGTGCCCTCAGCCATGGAGGCCTATGAGGAAGGATTAGAGGCCTACGTCATGCCCAAGTGAGGGAGGGCTCCAAGAGGTTGAGACTCACCCCACCCATTCTGACAACTCAGACTCCCCCTCCTTCCCCAAAACTGGCAGACTCTTCCAAAGGGTCCCCTGCCTCTCGCCCATGACAGGCACACACAAACACACACAGGGAATACCTGAGCCAGGAGAAATGGGACAGAAGGATGGGAAGACTGAGGCCAAAGGCCCAGAGCTTGCCTAAAATCATCCTGGAAATACAGAGGGTGCCAAAAAAAAGTCTACCGTGTTTCCCCCAAAATAAGACCTAGCCGAAGAAGCCGTAGCATGCTCCCTCCAGGATATGGAAGGCACGCACCCCTCACATGACAGCTTTATGACCTGTTTTAGGGAGAAGGGTGTCTTTTCCACAAATTCCTTTAGCTCGAAATATTCAGTATGCCAAGGTGCCATATTTTGGCACCTAAAATCATGTGAGGGCATATTTTCCAGCTAGGCCTCATTTTGGGGAAAATGGTACACATTTTAAGAAATGAAACAACCGTATTAAAAATGTAATACTCAATATATACCGGTAACAAAAGGTGAATACCAGTCATGTGTATACAATTTTTTGGAACCCTTGGCAGAGGCAGATGGGGCCCAGGGCACACATAGGCGCTATGACAGTTCTCGCAGACACAGGCTGTCATCCAGCCCAAGAACATCCCACTCACTTGGACACAGGCCACCACATACACCTCTCCCCCGCTCCAACCTCCCCAGGTACATTGCCACAGGTAGACTCCACAGGCATCCTCCTTCACTCACCAAACTGCAGGGGCTGCTGGGCCACGGGGGCCCTGAACCCGCCCATGCCCCTCCCTCGGCAATCAGCCATCGGACACAGGCAGCTCACCCTCTGTGAGGACCACTGCTCCCAGGAGCAGCAGCCCCAGTCCGTGGCTCTGTCTCATGCTTCTCCAGGCCACTCTGCCGCTGCCACTGGAGCTCAGACAGGCCGCCAGTCTCCCTAGCTCCGCCTTGGCTCCACCCCCAGTTAGCAGAGTCAGAGGCACTGCTTTTCCTGGGCTGGAAGGGAGCCAGCAGCTCCTAGTTCTGGGGCGGTGGCTGTGTGACCCTGGGCTACTCACCAGCCCTCTCTGGGCCTCAGCCATGGCCAGACTGCCTGGGTTCAAATGCCAGTTCTCCTGCTTACTACTTGCATGAACCATGGACAGTTAGCCAGTCTATGCCTTGTCTAAAAAACTCAGAATTGTTGAATGTAAAAATGCTTAAACCTGGCATAGAGAACACCTGCTCCCAGCACGGAAGCTATTGTCCTGCAACTGTGAGGGGCATGGGGGGCAAGCCCCCCAGTTCCCACTTTCATTTCAGCTTCCCCGACTCCCCCAGGCCCAGGTCCAAGTGGGTATCACGTACCTTCTCCCATCCTGCTTCAGACACAGTTATGTGCAGAGCTGGGTTCCAAGGGGCCAGAGCTCTCTGCTACTTGCTGGCTATGAGCTGGCAGATCGCTGCACCTCTCCGGGCTTGCCACCTTTCCGGCAAACAGGCTGACAGCAGTGCCCACGTTTCTCACAGATATTGGAAGACTCAGTCAGGAGGAAGGGACACTCAAAATGCATCCTTTTTCTCTTCCTGACATCTAACTCAGGCCAGCCCAGACTGTTCAGGAACTCTGTCCCCAACAGAGGCAGCCGGGGCGAGGGTTAAGAATGCAGACACTGGAGCCATATGGCCTCAAAATCCTGAGGGCTCCATGACCCCCCTTTCAAGCACTAGCTGTGTGATCTTAGGCAAATTACTTAGCCTCTCTGTACTTCAGCTATCTCATCAAGATAGGGATAATAACAGTACCTACCTCATACAATTGCTATAAGGATTAAGTGAATTAACACATTTCATGTTCTTAAACAGTGCTTGGCATGCAGGAAGTACTCGGTAAACATTACAAAAAACAAATCGAAACACTTACAACCTGTCCCTGGCCCTTCAGGGCTGCCAAGACTGGCTTGGGGTGATAAATAAGGTGGCCAGAGGGGTTAGGGGGAGACTAGAGGAAGAACTTCCTGGCAAGCATGCACAGAACCAGAAGGGCAGCTTGTCCTTGTAAGCGCATGCTTGGCTCTCCCAGGAGAGGCGGCCTGGCTCCCATGGGCAGCAAGGACAAGCTACAAGCCTGTTTCCTGGGGGTGGGGGCTGATGACGCCCCAGGTCTTGCTGACTCCACATGTTGGAGAAGGAGCTCATCACGCTTCCCAGAAAGGCTCTCCACTCTCCCTCTGACTCACACCCTTCCAGTCCCAGAGGAAGCAAGACTGGGAAAGGCCCAAAATGAGGGTCACTGGTAGACAGGTGGCTCAGACTTGGCCAATTTATTTAAGAAATTTTATTGCTTAGAATCTTCCCTCCTCAGGCAATGGCCAGGGCTTTGGAAATCAGCCCCTGGGGACAGAGCAGAAGGAGTCGGGTAGACGAAAGGGTGTGGCACATTTGGTCCATTGTCCTGTGTTGGAAATGTGGCGGAGGCAGGTTGCAGGCTCTTCTAAGGACCCAGACGTGTCCCCCTTGGGCAAGGCTGACATGTCAAAGCAGAGAAGACGAGGTCGGCCTGGCTTGGGGTGAGGGCTCAGTGCCCCTTGACCTTGCCCTGGGGTCCGCTGACCTCCCGGATGCTGAGTGCCATCAGGCCCACATTGATGGCATAGGTGGTGATGCAAACAATGCAAAAATCATAGAGCACAAAGAAGAGGATCCAGGCCAGGTAGACAGAACCAACGAGAGACACCAGGGAGCTCAGCACCAGCAGGACAGATGCCCAGTGACCCCGGAGGCAACCTGCAAGGCAGAAAAGGGTTAGGCATGGGTTTCAGGGACTGGCCATGGCTTCATGGTGCCACCCTGACAGCAGGGGCTGCTGGGAAAGAGTCTCTAAAACAAGAGACTCTGACAGGCCCCATCAAAGCCTTGGTTCTCCTCTCTGGTCAATGATCCCAGGGACCCAACAGTGAATTTTCCTGCTCATCATGAGATGAAAGACAATCCTTGGATCCCCCCAGAAAGGAACTTCTGATCTTCCTCAAAACACTGGTGCCCAAGCAAACGCTTAAGGGTCCTCTGGCCCTGATTGTACCTAAATCAACTGAAAGATTCCTGTTAGTTCCTGCCCTCAGGGTGCTCAGAGATGAGCAGGTGGCTGTCAGCTGTATGGATCCCCAAGGTTGCAAGGGATGGGGCTGGGCTGGCCAAGGAAGGAAGGAAGGGGTGGGACCTGCAAGGAAGGGTAGGGCCACTCACCTAACAACAGCTGTACTGTGTAGAAGATGCAGCCAAATATGCTGTTGGATTGATTGAAGAGACTGTCCCGGCCCAGCACATGTTCCACCAGTCCAAAGCCCTGGCCCCACCTGGTGGTGGTGGTGGGGTGGCCAGGTTAGAAGTGTCAACCCAGTGTCCTGGAGGGGTGATTTCCAAGAAGCCACCTGGGCCGTCCTCCCTCCCCTTCTCCACAATCCCTCACCCCCACTTGAGTCCAAGGATCGATGACCTCCTGGCATAGTCTCCCTTTGCCACGTCAGGAGTCCATGTGTCTGCTCCTATCTTCCCCTATCTCCAGGGCCCTCTTTTCATCCTAGACCTTCAATAATTCTTAAGGCAGCAAGGAGGGTAATAATGGGTGACCTTGCTTTACAGTGAAGAGCCTGGGAATCTGAAGCAGAAGCTCTCTGCCCTGGACCCCTGAATCTCCAGCCCCCTGGAGGCCCATTCCCCTCGTCTATATTTGGTCACCCCACTAACCCTGGGCCCTCAGGCATAGCCAGACCTGGCTACCTTGCTCCCAGGCACCGCCATCCTCAAGACCATCACAGTCCGTTCGCATCACCCAACCTCCACCTCCTGCCCCATCAACGTTATTCCTTGGCATTCAGATCCACGTGCTACTCCCCGGAATAACTACAGTCCCCAGCACTATCTGCCACCCCCCACCTCCCACCCCCTCCATCTCCAACACACCTGATTCGCCAGGCATTGCGTCCCCCGGCCCCCCAGCATCCGCTCCCTGGCGCCCCGATCTCAGATTCCAGAATCATCTGGCAACCTGGTCCCAGTGCACCACTCCCACGAGCAGCCCGGTGCCCCAAGTCTTCCACTCCCGTGCGCACCTGGAGGAGAAGACGCGCGAACAGCTGATGGCAGTACCCACGTCGCAGAGGGCGCGGTAGTCCTGGTCTCGGGCGCGCGCCGCCTTTACGTGCAGCGCGTAAAGCGAAAGCACTAAGCCAGCGAGGCAGAGAGCTAGCCTCACCCAGCCGGGGCTCCTCCAGGTAGCGCCCATGTCTCTGGGTCGTGTCCCAGAAGCCAGCCAGCGGGGCAGGGGCGGGGCAGCACATGGCCACGCCCCTCCCGCCCCTCTGACTAGGCAGGGACAAGCGTGCTAGGACGGTAGGAAAACAGTGAGGAATGCTGGGACTGGAAAACCAAATTAAGGGACGTAGCGGCCCGGCAGGCATCGTGGGAGTTGTAGTCCGAACGGCTGCAATGCCTCAAGGGAAATGGAGTCTTTGGAGTTTAAAAAATTACTGAAGGTATATAATTATGATTAATAGTATATAGTGCTTACTCTATGCCAAACCCTGTTCTAAGGATTGGAACATCCAGGACCTAGAGACCAGGAGATCAGGGAATCCAGCTGCGATCCAATCCGAACCAAGCATTTTCCCTGAGATTAGTTCAGACACCATTAGGACTAGGTTTGCTCCCTCTTGCCTCGCCAGCACCTCTTGCCTTGCCAGCACCTCCTGCCGGCTGATCTCTCTCCCTTACATTTCCAGCTCTATCACCTCGGCCACACCCTTGACAGTATCCTAACCTCTGTTCTGTTGGCTTTCGCCTGGCAAAACCTGAGCCTGGATCAATCTAACAGTCCCTCCTTTTGAAGCTTTCCGTGGGCTAGCTGAACTCTCCCCTTCCCAGACATCGCATCTGTTGGTGACCCATCTCTCCTATACCTCTCCTTCCTTCCCTTCTGTGCAAAACTTGCTTCTCTTTCCCCATTTTAGAAACAGCAACAAATCTCTTCACAATAAAGTTTTGGGGAAAATTTTACACTCCTAGTCTATATACCTCCTCACTTCTTGCTTGATGCCCAGGACACCATAAACTCCTGCCCCCGACACACCCCTTACTCCTAATGGCTGGTGTCCTCAGGACTCTAAACCATTAGGTATTTTTCATTTCTTATCAGGCTTGACCTCTCAGCACTATGTCACTCTCTTTTCTGTGATATGTCACTCTCCTCTGGCCCTCCTCCTTTCTCTGGCTGCTCCTTCTTGGACCCACTCCTCTTCTTCCAGACAGCATGGCTGACAGAATAACGGCCCCCACAGACATCCATGTTCTAATCCCTGGGACCTGTGAATATGTTAGGCTACATGGCAAATTGGATTAATGAAGCAGATGGGAGAAAGGTCACCAATACACTGACTTTAAAACAGTGAGATTATCCTCTGGTTCCAACGTAATCACAAGGGTCAATAAAAGTGAAAAGGGCAGCAGAGGAAGAGTCAGAAGATGTGTTTCCACAGAAGAAAGGCACAGTGAGCTGCAATGTTGCAGGCTATGAAGATGGAGGAAGGGGGCAATGAGCAAAGGAACATAGGTGGCCTCTAGAAGAAGGAAAGGGCAAAGAAACAGATTCTCCTCTACAGCCTTCAGAAAGGAGCTGTTTCTAGATCCCCCTGAAAGGAACTGTTGACATCTTGGTTTTAGCTCAGCAAGACCCATGTCAGACTTCTGAACTAGAGAACCGTAAGATAATAAATTTGTGCTGTTTTAAGCAACTGAGTTTGTGGTAATTTGTTACAGCAGAAATAGGAAACGAATGCAGAGGACTAGGACTTGGACCTGACCTCTTTCCCGAGTCTCCTGGAGTGTTATTATCTATAGCTGCTTCCCTCAGAATGAGTGATCTAAGAGGGAGCAAGATAGAAACCACCATATCTTTATAACTTCTCCTCAGAAGTCACACACTGTGACTTCTCATAATCACATTTCTGCATTATCCTAGTGGCTCAGGTCAGCCCTGATCAGTGTGGAAAGAGACTACAGAGTAGTCTGAGTACCAGGAGGTGGGGATCATTGAGGACTGAGTGCTGTTCAACAAATCACCACAAAAATAGTGGCTTAAAACAATAACATTATATATAACATTAAA